ATCGGGGGAGGAGAGTGTTGCAGAAAGAGAGTTTAGAAAGGAGCGGTGTGAGGTACGAGAAAGGTGCTTGACGAAGTTGCGTTGAACTCGGTAAGCCTCCCGGTTAACCGGCGTTGGGAATTTCTTGTAGATGCTGAAAAGATCACGCTTGCGCTTCACTTCAGATACGAGGGACCGTGTCACCCATGGGGGACTAGATGTCGAGGATGTTGGGTTGGAATGTTTCCGGTTGTTGTAGCCGATAGCAAAGTTAGAGAGGTGCTGTTGGAACCCTCGTTCAAGGACGGCTGCAAAGTGATCTACCGCGGCGTCAACAGTTGGAGAGCCTTCTGGTTGCAGAAACGACCAGTCGTGGCAGGAGAAATCAGCGTTCATAGAGTCCCAGCACTGAGAGGGAACTCGACGGAAGCGATATGGGAACGGTTTGCGAGAAGGAAGTGGCAGGTCTGGATCCGAGGGCAATGAGACGGCGAACTGGCATGAAACCATGAGATGGTCCGAGGAGCCAAGAGCGCAAGCTGTGTGAACGTCCGTCGCCAGCAGGGGTTGGTTCGTGAAGACAAGGTCTAGACATGACTGTGTTCCGGAAGATGTTGTGTGCGTTGGACTCTGCACCAGCTGATCCAAGCCGAAGCAGGTAAGGGTGCGAAAAAGTGCCGCCCCAGCAGGACACGTTAAATCCGATGGGCACCACCGTTTGTGCTTACTGTTGAAGTCCCCAGCCATTATGACATGGTACGATGACATGGGAACGGTTACCAAAGCACTAGCTAGCATATCACAGAAGTGGTCTATTTCCGTGGTTTTGACTGAGGGCGGACGGTAGGTACAGCAGACGAGGATGGGTGTCGGGGAGCCTAAGATTGGGTGAAGCTCAACCCATACGGATTCACAGGTCGGACGAGCAAGGTCGTCGCGAACTTGGACTCTTCCGAAGCGATTTTGCCGGACAAGAATCGCAACTCCACCATATCCTCTGGTTGCCGTACCGGATTTGTTATCATGAGGTGGTCGGTCGCGACGAAATGTGGTATAACCGGAGATGGTGAGCGCTATGCTTGGATTTAGCCATGTTTCATTTAGACAGATGACATCAGGTTTGTTGAAATCAGCAATGACAGACAGTTCGGCAGATTTGTTAACGATTGAGCGGCAATTTACGGAAAGCAAGGTCAGTTTACCCTGGCAAGGGGGGAAGTAGGGCCGAGCCAGTGGATTCAGCTGTGGTCGCGCCATCATGCTGAGCCTAAGGAGAGGACGTTGTTTGCCTGGTTGGCATTGCTGGTGTCAAAACTGTCCGCGGCAAAACGCCAGGGCCTAACCGTGTGCGAAAGAGCATCCGGCCAGAACCCTTTGTCACCGACTGTGTTCTCATCAGCTGCCTCGACGGTCACCCGTGCGTAGGCAGTTCTGAAGTGCTTGGATGCAAATATGACACCTTCCTGAATCTGCACTCCTCGGGCAGAGCACCATTCAGCAATTGATGATGCGGAGCAGTGTGGCTGCACGTTGCCAACGTAAAACACTTTGCGTTTGGCCCGGGGTGATGCCGTGAGGTCTACTGCCGGCTCGCTATCACGAGCCGGCTTGGTGTAGCGGGATGTTTCCACCCGCCTTGTTATGCTTTGAGCTAGCTGGGACTGACTACTAGTATCTGCCGCGTGCCTTTGTCTCTGGGCGGCTCGAGTGCGTCTGCCCTGGTGTTCCTGCCATTCATGTACTTGTTGTTCAGTATCGGTGGACCTACGGGATGCATCCAGGCCTGCTGCGGGGCTGGAGCTACGACTTGGAGTAGTGCTGGACCTACGGGATGCATGCACGCCTGCTGCGGGGCTGGAACTACGACTTGTAGTAGTGTTGGGTTGTGGCACACGCGTTTCTCCTGGCAGGCTGCCACTGCCGGCGTGTGTACCGTACGTTTGTACAGACCTGCCCGTTGTGGTGCTGAGCCTCGCACGTGCACTTGCAGTTTGTGTGGCGGTTCCTAGTACTACGTCGCTGTACTGGTGTGGCATGGCGTGCTGTGTGTGTACGCTAGTATCTCGCAGGTCAGCCATTTCCCGCCTCAGCTGTTGAATTTCAAGCTTCAAGGAAGCAATTTCATCATCTCTTCCCACCCTAATTGCCACTATTTCTTTATTCAGGTCCATTATTGTCGAGGACAATGCGGCCAAAGCAGTCGTGACATGTCCTATACCGGTCATACCTTCCAGGATGGGGTGGGACCCAATCCCCTCCTTCCGGAGCGCTCCCACCAGGTCGGGCCGTGAGAAGGAGTCCGCTTTCGGGATGCCAGTCCGGGTGGCCAGGTTTTGTAGACAGTCGAACGTCAGAAGGGCCAGGTCGACATGCTCATTGGTGGCCATAGTCCGCAGTACAAGTCACAGCTCCTGTAGGTTACAGTTACAGACTCGGAAAGGCTGATAGGAGCGGAGCTCCTAAAACTGCATCCGCACTCGAAAAATTCAAAAATTTCTTAGTTGTTACCATAACGACAGAGGTTGTACGGATAGGAGTAGGATGCAAATTTTCTAGCTCCAACTCTGCCTGATTTTTTCTTGTTTTATACGGGTTCGCCATGCCCATGTCAACCAGGTCTAAAGAAAGCGGAGAAGATAGCTCTAGTATGACTCCGATTGCCCAAAGTGGTTCTCCGAGCACTGGTATGGACGGTTCTGTTGACGTCACGCCTTTATTTGGCGAAAACGGCTCTTCTGGATGCCAACTTGATGTGGCCTCGTCTAACTTGCCTGCTAACCGTAAGTGCTCATGCATGTGTCATGACCATAGATGTTGCGGTGGCGAATCTTTCATGGGGATCATGAGTAGTTTGATGAAGGAATTGGCTGCCATGAAAGAAGCTGTTGTTGACAACAATTCCCTGAGAATCGAAGTGGCGGCACTCAGGGAGGAAGTTCAGAAATTGCGTACGAGTACATGTACCCCAACAGGCCAGTCCACGTCCTCCACGGCCACATCAGTGATCAACCCACGCACATCTGACTCAGGGCCTGCTACACGCAACTCGTATTCAAATGCTTGCAGCTCAGGGGTTACAACTGACACGAGTACACCACGCGAACCAACATGTGATCCCGTACCGGTCGAACCTGAGTGGAAGGACGTTGAACGGAGAAAACCGCGAAACCCTGCACGCACGTTGGCAAATAAGACTACCACTGCCAGCCGTGAAGTAGCACACAAGCCAGGCCAGTCCACTGTCACCTCGTATTATCAGCACAAACCTAAAGCTCCTGCAAGTTTTCGTGGAGCCCCTCGGATAAAATGCCGCGCAATTCACCTTGGCAATGTCCACATGGGATGTAGTGCTGATTCCATAGTAGGTTGGTGCGAGAAAAAAGACCTGCCAGTCATGAAGTGCAGTGTGTCAGAATCCCGGTACTTCGGACTGGCGTACGCACATGTCGTGATCCCAGCAGATCAAATCGACAAAGCCCTGCAGGAAGACTTCTGGCCAGCGGAGGTGCGTGGACGAGAGTGGAGATTCGCCTTGGACAAGATAGCTTCAGCTTCAGCCCCATCATGAATGCCGACACCCCACTAAACCCTAATGCAATCCCATTCCATCCTAGACCACACACCCCTAATTTAGCCCCTTTATCAAACAGCAACAACGGCCTTAGTCTTAGGCTGCCGTTGCGAGTGTTCAATACAAGTACAGTGTCCTCCACCACGAAATGACGACCTTGACCTGGCTGTGGCCGTGCTTGACGTTCACGCTGTGCAGCTGCACAGTTGGGCTTACAGCGTGCCAACTTGGTGCTCGGTAATTTCCTGAAGAGCAGACTAGCTGGGGACACATTCGTTGATGAATGGGGCGTGTTACGATACTTAAACAAGAAACGGTGCGTCTGGGTCTTCTCAGACACATCCGGAGCAGGGCCTGCTGGAGAGCCGGGTCAGCCGGGTCACGCGCCCGGCTGGGGAACTTCACGACCTGGCTGAACAGATAGCACCGGGTCCAGTCTGACCCGGCTGAAAAATGTCTCAAACTGACCATGGATTCCTAAAATACCGGTATTTTACAACTCGCGGAGCCCGTCTGTTGCAAATCTAGCGCAACCGTACACACAGTCTACAGTCTACAAGCGACAGAAACTCGGCTAGGGTCAACTGGGGTCAACTGGTTCGAGCGCGATCTGGCCAGCGGCGAGCAGGAAGTCAGGACATTCAAAGTCGATGGGGGAGGCAGTCAAAAGCGTAACTAAGTGTTACTTTGGCTATAGCTTTGGACACAGTTGCAAGTTTTCAGCCGACTGGTGATTTGGACGATGGGGCCCGCAACGAAGAGAAAAAGAACTCACGCTTTCTAAGACTCTTGGAAGAAAGGTCGACCCTGGCTGGACGACCATGCCAGTCTATCCATGTCAGACGCATTTCCAAAGGAAGACGAGCGGCGGTGGATTTGGTCGCGATGCGTGCAGGAAGCAGCCACTCCACGAGGTGCTGCAGCACCCCCAGTGCTCTAATATGCGAACATGTTCGTCCTGCTAGGCTGCTCCTAGCACTACATGTAATTAGAAAACAGAATTTCTTTTTTTCAAAATTAATTGTTAAATCAGAATCCAATGGAACTGCTTTGCATTCTTCACGTAATAGGGCTTGAAAGTAATGACGTCAAAAACGGCCAGGGAGTACTAAGTGGACTTCAGATTTCTATTTTGGATCAACTAAGGTGTGACTTTGCTATTGCCTCAGTATGTGTGTGCATAGCAACCCACTCATGTCGTATGCAGGGGTGACTTTTACTTCGCCACCAGTTGTAACCCCGTCCCCAGTAGCCAATCAGTCAATTTCACTGGTTACATCACCTTCCTATGAGTAAGACGGTTTGAAATGCGCTTGGATCCATACAAAAACTGGATCCAGTTTTTGAATTTTTGAAATGGTTGCTATGCTGTGACGTAGCACTTTCAAGCCCTATGTCGTTTACCTTCTACGTTTGCGGATTTTGATAGTTCGCCTTGTTCTCTAAAATTTCAGATTTCTGGTAATAAATTTGCCTTTCTGTTTTCCTGCGTTTTGAGCAGGCTTTTTGGTTGTTTTTCTGCCGGATGAACTGACCCGGCTTGACCCGGCTGGCCTGCATGCGCCATGTACACTCTGACCGGGCTGTGTTGAATGTCTAGAGCAGGCCCTGCCGGAGGACGGGACTTCAGAGCACGCTTCAACTCCTGGACAATGCGTTCGACTTGTCCGTTACTAGCTGGGTGGTACGGCGGTGTACACTTGCGAACAATACCACTCTCACGGCAGAAACGCTGGAACTGGTGTGATGTAAATTGAGGACCAGTGTCACTCACGAGGGTCTTGGGTATACCAAACGTTGCGATAAATGTTACCAAACTGTCAATCGTCTGCTGAGTAGTGGCAGTGGATCCAAGCTTGTATGCGTCGATCCGCTTAGAGTATGCATCCACGATGACGAGATACTGCTGGTTGTTGAATTCTGCAAAATCCACGTGAACACGCTCAAAAGCTTCTGTGGGGTACACCCATGGGTGGCTGGCATCCTTGCTAGGTGCTTTAGCTAGAGCTTGGCAGTGACTGCATGATGACACTAGAAGCTCAATATCGCGATCAAGGCCAGGCTGCCAAACAAAGCTGCGTGCTACTGCCTTCATTCTGACAATGCCAATATGGACAGAATGCATCTCATTTAGCAGCAAACGGCGAAACACTACTGGGATGACGGTACGGCCACCACGAACTACACAGCCCGACTCTATGGTCGGCTCATGACGAATCTTGTAGTATGGTCGCGCAGCCTCGCTGATCTCAGCTGGCCATCTGAACTGTAGGTACTGCAGTACTGGAGCAATCTTACTGTCCTGCTTGCTAGCATCTGCAACATCACTAGCATCAATTGGCAAATCCTCAGTAGGATCATGGGCATGCTCGTTGACAGCACTGACAATTGCACTCTCTTGTGCGGCTGTCAGCTCCATAGGCAGGCGTGACAATGTGATGATATCGTACCTTGATATCCTTTAGTGCTGTTACACCGTCGCTGGGTACGTGAATGGTACCCACGTCCCGAGCATCGTTGTTGATACCGCGTGTGGCCGCACCATGGTACACAGGACCTTGGTCCGGGACCAGGATTTGTCTGGTGAGACTACCTCCATTCGTTGTGCCCACGGTGATGTGGTCAGTTACCCCATGGCCGATCTGACCATCACCATCGACGGCATGGTGTACTATGTCAAGGCAGCAGTGTCCGAGCACCTGCCCCGTCACGTGTTGCTTGGCCGTGATGTGCCCCACATACATGAGTTGGTCCGGCTGTGTCAGCCAGCCGCCACGGACGTCTTGGTCTCTACGCGTGCACAGGCCAAGGCTTCACCTGAGACGACTGGTGCTGCTCGTTTGCACGACATCTTCCCGTTCGAGGATGAACTGTTTGAGGATTTGGCCTCGAATGCAGCTTCTTTGCGTGCACCGCCGGCGGACCTATCTAGCACACCGGAGATGACACTGCCACCTATCTCGCACCCGATTTGCCAGATGCCACCCGTTTCGCCGACGAGCAACGGCGTGACCCATCTCTTAGCCCATGTTGGGACTATGCTACTGGCCGACACAAGACGCCCGTCAATGACAGTACCTTCTGTGTTCGCCAGGGCCTCCTCTACCGGGAATACTCATCGGATGGTGAAGCGGGGATGGATACCACCAGCCCCTACTACCGCCTTCAGTTGGTTCTGCCCACGGAACGGAGATCCACCATTCTGCACCTCGGCCACACCGTCCCCATGGCTGGCCACATGGGACAGGCGAAGACATCCCAGAGGATTCTTCTCCGTTTCTGGTGGCCGACGATTCTTCAAGATGTCGCGCAGTATTGTTCCGCCTGTGAACCATGTCAGCGCACCGCCCGTATTCTGCGTCACGACCGGGCACCACTTATTCCTCTTCCTGTTATTGGCGAGCCCTTCCGGGTGGTAGCTATCGATATTATCGGCCAATTGCAGCGTACGCAGTGCGGCAAGAAGTACATCCTCACCTTGGTGGATTATGCAACCCGCTATCCGGAGCCAGTCGCTCTTTCCAATATTGAGTCGACTACCGTGGCTGATGCGTTGATCCCCATCTTTTCCAGAGTAGGACTGCCAGACAAAATCCTCTCTGACCAAGGCTCCAACTTTACATCGGACGTCCTCCGGCAAGTTGCTGCTTTACTCCGTATCCAGCTTACCACATCCACTCCGTACCATCAACAGACCAATGGCCTTGTCGAACGGTTCAATGGTACCCTCAAGAGTATGCTTCGTCGGTTTGCTGCTGATGCGCGACGAAGTTGGGACGAGGTGCTCCCATATGCTTTATTTGCGTATCGAGAGGTGCCTGAAGCCAGCACTGGTTTCTCACCATTTGAGCTCCTGTACGGCCGCCATGTCCGCGGCCCGCTGGATCTCGTGCGCGATGCTTGGGCTCAGCCAACGGAGGAGCTCCGGACTACTACTGCCCAGTTCGTCCTCACCATGCGGGACCGGCTTGAACGCATATCAACTGAGGCTGGCTCCCACCTTGCCACCGCGCAGCAACGGCAGAAGGCCTACTATGACCGCCTGTCAGGAACGCACATTTGCTCCGGAAGACGAGGTACTGCTCTTGCTTCCGGCTTCAGCTCGCAAAATGGAAGCCGTGTGGCAAGGCCCTTACCCTGTTCGGCGTAAGGTCGACAAGGTCAATTATGAGATTGACATGGGACCCCACCGCACAAAGCGATATCAGGTTTTCCACATCAACCTCCTGCGGCGGTTTCGCCGGCCCCAGCTCGCGGCCTTCACCGTTCCTATGGCAGAGGACGACCCAGACACGGAGCTGCTGCTTGACGACTGCTCCCCTCTACACGTTGATGGTGGCCATCCTACCATTAACCCCGACCTTTCGCCGGACCAGCGGCAACAGCTCGACATGCTGCTATCGGAGTTTGAGGATACCCTCTCACTCCAGCCTGGCCAGACGACCGTGGTGGCTCACTCCATCCACACTGGCGACGCCACACCCATTCGTTCCCGGCCATATCGTCTTGCCGATGCGCACCATTCTGTTGTCCGCGATGCCGTCGACGAAATGCTGGACATGGGCGTCATACGCGCATCCCGCAGTCCGTGGTCCTCACCCGTTGTGCTTGTGCCGAAGAAGGATGACTCGATCCGCTTCTGTGTCGACTACCGTGCCCTTAATCAGGTGGCCCAGTTCAACTGTTACCCGATGCTGCGGGTGGACGAGATCCTCGACTCTGTCGGGTCTGCCCAGTTTCTCTCCACCCTTGACCTGTCCAGGGGGTATTGGCAGATCCCTCTGGCAGAGGATGCGTGTGCCAAGACGGCCTTCACCACAGCGTACGAATTCACTATGATGCCATTCGGGCTCCATGGAGCGCCTGCAACATTTCAGCGTTGCATGGATACCGTCTTGGCTGGTCTCCCGTTTGTATTTGGACGATGTCATCTTCAGTCCGACTTTTGAGGACCATCTTGTCCAGCTCCGCCACGTTCTTGGTCACCTTCACGACGCTGGGCTCACTGTGAAGCCGAAGAAGTGTTTATTGGGTATGGTCGAAACTCCCTTCCTTGGCCATGTGATTGGTCATGGTCGGTCGCGTGCGGACCCTGGCAAGTTGCAAGCCATCGACGATTGGCGACAGCCCACGACCAAGAAGGCCCTGCGTTCCTTCCTGGGGTTGTGCGGCTACTATCGTCGCCTCATTCCTCACTTTTTAACCATCGCGGAGCCCTTGGTAGCCATGACATCGAAGGGCCACCCCAACACCCTCCACTGGACGACCTCAGCTGCACAGGCCTTCGTTCAATTGAAAGGCCTCCTTGTCTCCGACCCGGTCATTGTTGCGCCGAACTTTGCTGCGGAGTTCTACCTGCACACGAACGCGTCCGATGTTGGTTTGGGCGCTGTCCTGACCCAGCGTGATGCCCAGGGCACCGAACACCCCGTATGCCAGTCGCAAGCTCCTCGACCGTGAACGTCGTTATGCCACCATCAAGAAGGAGTGTCTCGCCCTCAAGTGGGCCATTCTCAAATTCGCTCCGTATCTCCTCGGCAGACGCTTCACCTTGATTACCGACCACCGCCCTCTTCAATGGATCGCTCAGCATCATAGTGGCAATGCTCGGGTGGCCGGATGGGCCATTGCTCTGCAGCCGTTCGCTTTCACCGTTGTGCACCGGCCTGGCGCTCTCAATGGCAACGCCGATGCGTTGTCCCGCCAGATGTGACTTTCTTCTCCTGCTGTGTTGCTCCTAGCTTCTTCGTCTATTGTTTCTCTCTTCATTTAGTCATTGTCCCAGATGGTATCTCGGACCGGAGAAGGGGAATGGTGTGATGATATTGTACCTTGATATCCTTTAGTGCCGTTACATTCTTTATCTATTGTTTCTCGTTTAGTCATTGTCACGGATGGTATCTGTGACCGGAGAAGGGGAATGGTGTGATGATATTGGAACTATATCATTTGGTGCCATTAAATATCCCTATACATATACATATACAGTAACTATAACCTTCACATCCTCATATTTACACCTGTCCATATTATGACATTAGAATAGCATGCTGCGTACTACTTCCCGTACTACCGGTACCTTTTCTAGTACTCACATATTGTACAACTTTACACACCAAGATAAAATAGCAAGGATGACAGCCCTTCAGGGTTAGTTGTCGGTTAGCCAAACAAGAGTGGGTTGTTGGTGTGTCCTCCCCTAGGCCCTTCACAGACAAGCAATCTGCGACAGCATTGCTACTACCAGGAATGTGCTCAAACACATAATCATACTCGCTAAGAATGACAGCCCAACGCTGTAAACGGGAAACAGCAGTGGCAGATAAACCATACTTCTCACCAAAAATGTGCAGCAATGGCTTATGATCAGAGCATAGAACAAAAGAGCGACCAAACAAATAAATGTGTAAACGCTTAACTGCAAATACAATGGCTAAAGCTTCACGCTCTATCTGCGAATAGTGAGCCTCTGCCTTAGCAAGCGAACGGGAAACATAGCATACAGGCCTACGGCTGCCATCAGCATACTCATGCATGAGACACGCTCCAATGCCGTAAGGCGAAGCATCGCACTCAACGACCACTTTCTCATTCACATCAAAATGAGCTAGCACTGGGGCACTGGTGAGCATACGCTTTACCTGAGCGAATGACTTCTCACACTCATCTGTCCAGTTCCACGGAACACCTTTGCGGAGCAAGTTGTTGAGCGGCTTCAGAACACTGGACATGTCGGGTAGAAAGCGGTTGTAGAAGTTGACACAGCCTAGGAATGACTGCAACGCTTGAACGTTCTTCGGTGCTGACGCCTTCAGGATAGCCTCGACATTGTCCTGATTGGGCTCGAGACCGTTCCGGCTGATGCTGTAGCCCAAGTAGCGTACACGATCCACACGGATAGCACACTTCTGCTTGCGAAGACGCACACCACGCTCTGCTAGCCGCGCTAGCACCAACTTGAGTCGCCGGTCGTGCTCTTCGACATCGCACCCAGTGATGAGAATATCATCATAGAAGCAGACGACACCAGGAATGTCGTGCAGAATCTCATCCATTGTCTTCTGCCAAATTGCTGGGGCACTGGACACGCCAAACGGAAGGCGCTGGAATGCGTATAGACCTCGATGTGTTGCGATGACGCAATACTTCTGACTGCGTTCCGAAAGCGGTAGTTGCATAAGCTTGGCTAAGATCCAGCTTCGTAAACACTGATCATCCAGCTATCTGCGACAACAGGTCGTTCGGATTTGGAATCGGGTGAAGCTTGGAATTGATGTGCGGGTTGATCGTGACCTTGAAGTCCGCGCACATGCGAATGTCCCGATTCTGCTTCCTGACAATCACAATAGGTGAGGCCCACTCTGCTGCCTTGACGGGCTGGATAATGCCTTCTTGCTCCAGCCTGTCAAGTTCCTTATTGACAGCAGGATGCAAAGCAAATGGCACGGGCCTGGGGTTGCAGCACTTGGGAGTGGCACCGTCGTTCAGGTAGATCTCAGCTTCACGATCACTCACTTTGCCCAGACCATCACGAAATACTTCAGGGTACGCATCTTCTGCTGCTGGCTCACTCGCTGCAGTGGCGTTCACCCGGTTGAACATACTCTGCCAGTCAAGTCTCAACTGTGATAGCCAGTCGCGTCCCAGCAGCGGATGGTTGCCTTCACGTACTACGATGACCCGCGCACGAACATTCTGCGCGCTGTAGCGTACATCAACATCTGCTTCGCCAGCAATCGGCAGGACTGAACCATTGTAGGTCTTCAGTCGCACAGAACATTCACGCAAGGCAACATGTGTCCAATGTTGCTCCCATACGTCTTGCGGCACCAAAGTGTACATGGATCCGGTGTCCACCTCCAAATCCAATGGAGTACCGTTGATCTGCACTGTGGTGATTAGCATGTTCGATGTTGGCTTCCCAGCTGACACTTGGCCAACACGAAAACTATCAGACACCTCGTAGTCCGTGACTTCGCGCACATGATGGGCGGCAGTCTGCGACGCTGATCCTGACTTGCAGCACTTAGCGTAATGACCTGTCTTGCCACACTTCCTGCATGCCTGTCCCTTAGCTGGACATGAAGCATCTCCGGATTTGTGTCCCTTGCGACCGCAGCTGTAACAACTGACACGTGTACCAGCAGCTGGGTGGTGTCTGCCTTGGCCCCTGGCCTTGCCCTGGTGCTGGCCTCTCCTGGACGTAACTGCACTGACAGCATGATCACTCGCGGACTCTGATGTTCCAGCTCCAGCAGAAACAGCACGACTAATCATCATCTGAGACTGTGACTGTGCATCCTCCCAGACGCGACAGAGCTCCAATGCTCGATCGACTGACAACGACGGCTCAGACAATAATTTTTTCTTCAAGTCAACGTTCCTCACCGTTGCCACGATTTGGTCTCGGACTGCCTCATTGGTCTGGCGAGTGTTCTCAAAGGAACATAATCTAGCCTGCTGCCGCAAACGGCTGCAGAAATGCGCCGTACTCTCTCCTGCTTGCGGAAACAGCTGGCGAAAATCATGCCTTTCGTAGGTAGGGTTTGCTGGGGCTGCGAAATGCGCGTCCAAAATTCGCTTACATTTCAGGTACTAGTTATCATTCGGGGTCTTCTGCTCCTCTGGCAGAGCATCGTCAGGGTCAAGTAGGTCATCAATAATGTCTTGAACCTGTGGTCCCGCAAAGTGCAACAGCAATGCTCTTGAGCGCTTCTTGTTCGAAATGTCCTTGCCCACTAAATAATCAGTTTCCTCTGAGACAAAAATGCGATAATACTCATAAAAAGGACACACTTCAGGCTCATTACAAACATCTTGAAAGTTTTTGTCTTCACAAGTATACTTTCAAGCCTTCTCATCAGGTGAAATACAGGCAAGGGAAAAGGAACAGGAACAGTGGATTAAATACAGTAAGAAGGTGGTAAAACAGCGAAAAAGAAAGAAAGAAAGAAAGAAGATAGCTAAAGTAAACAGCGAAAATTGCATAAAATAAAAAATAATACTAAATAATACTTTAAAAAAGACTTCACCCACTTCCGCCAACGGATGGACACCTGGGAAGCTGGGCCTGACGTATCAAAACTCTGAAGACGCTTGTCGTCTTCCATCTTCGTCGCCAATGTTACATTCCCACTCACAAGAACACACAGTTGTGGAATGTATTAGGATTATTTACAAAGAGAATAATGGACGTGCAAAGTAACAAGATAGAAAGAAGAGCAACTGAGACACAGGAAGTCTGAACTGGAGTGCACATGCGCAGAGCATAGCGTGCAAGCAAACATGCGCAGAGCCTAGCGTGCTTACGCGCACATACAAACATAACATACGTGTCGGTGACAAGAAAAAGTAGTCACCATGGTCGAATAGTCGCCATTCCAGGTTTTACTATGCATGGTTGTGTCTAGCAGCCAGGATGAGCAATTGTGACTGGATTTTGCTGTGCGTCTCATTTCTTTTGTGCTGTATGTATGGAATGACGTGGATGGCCGAAAACAGCGCTAGACCCTCAAGCTGCGGCAGGTGAGTTTGACCAGTTTCTCACACCTTTTGGCAGCACGCATAGCCGCTGAGTGCGTTCCATTTTGCCCACGAATCGATGTTGAATCCATTCATGAATCGCCCCTGGCTATTCACATCACCCCATGTGAGTAGGGTGAATGGATTCCGAACCCATTCCAGGGCTCATGACATGAAATCGAACGACGAGATTCCATTCATGAATCGATTCATGGCAGTAAACAAACGCACCAACTGTGCGTATAGCTCATTGCGATAGAGATTCTCTATCGTAATGAGCTCTTCACACGGGGCCGTCACAACCTGGTCTCTATCACCAGGGGGTCTGCTTATCCAGGGTCATTTGACTGGCCAAAGCATCCATTTGTGCTGGTGGCCGTGGTCTTCTTCAACAGGTGGTCGCCTTGGCAAGTCTGATTACTGTATGTGACTATGCCTTCAATGGTGAGAGGTGCCGAGTTTCCCCGAATATAAGTCGCACCTTTTTACCCTAAACTTCATTCCCAACAAAGGGGGTGCGACTCACAATTGAGTATGAATTACTACTGAAGTGAACATGTCAAAACAATAATGATAGTGCTATGGACCTGGACCTGGAAATGGGGTTGCGACTTACACTGGAGTTTCACTTACAATCGGGGAAATACAGTATGTATAACAGACACATGTTTTCACTCCATCTTCGTGTTTTCTTGTCCAGAGAACAGCTGTAGTCCGATGTGCACGGGGGGACTGATGTGTGTGAACGGAACCACATGCCAATGTAAGACAGCGTATTTTACTATTCTACTTGTTATTATTAGTATTATTATTTATTCATATTTTACTAGGGCAGTCCCCACAGACCTATGGTCTTCTTACAGGGTGCCCTAGCCGCTTGTTAATCATCATGTGTGTATTTAATTTATGTGTGTGTGTGTGTGTGTGTGTGTGTGTGTGTGTGTGTGTGTGAGTGTGTGTGTGTGCATGCGTGCATGTGCATGTGTGTATGCGTAAGTATATGTGTGTATGCATGAGCGTACACGTGTGTGTGTGTGTGTGTGTGTGTGTGTGTGTGAATGTGTGTTTTGCATGCATGTGTGTGTGTGTGTGTTTGTTTGTTTTCAAAAATATAAGTCCTTGCGTGGCAGGGTGACCAGAGTTAGCAATCCACCAGCGCACATGTACCTGCAATGGGGGTTTCCCTTGCCCAACACATGTACCTGCAATGGGGTTTTCCCTTGCCCAACACATGTATATGATGTATTGTGATACCCTGCAAGTCGGTATTCGGCTGTTTCCGAGCATATGCATTACAGTGAAGCCTGTCTAAGGCGGCGGCTCAAGGGACCTTGCAAATGTGGTCCCCGTGTACAGGTGGTCTTCTTTTCAAGGGTCATTGGACTGGAAATAACCTCCATTGGTCCTGGTTGTAGTGGTCTCCTGGGACAGGTGGTCGCCTTTTCAAAGTGGTCGCCTTGATAGGTTTTGCTATACTTATAGCTCTTGCTGTTATTGCTCTTTGCTCCTTCCTGTGCTGGCAGTCAGAGCTGCTTGACAACCTGGGGGTGTTTCTGGTCGCCACTTCTTACCCTATCAATACTCTGAGTCCATCGTTCTAGTGAAAGCAATCCGCAAAGTGAGAACTGTAAGCATCTTGGCTTGATGAGGCAGTGAGCCAAGTGCGCCCACATCTGCTCATAAATACAAGCTAACTGTGTGCGTGTGCACTGTCAGTCTGTATCATGGCTGGGCAATTGTTGGCCGCCGTAGCTTTGCATCAGCCATACCAAACGCATACTATATGTCCAGTAACGAACATTTAATTCTAACGATTTAACGAATTTAGAAAATTCGTAAACATTTGAAGTCGTTATGAACAAAACGATATGTACATGTACAGTCATTTGCCGGTATTGAGACGGAATTCGTTAGAATTTCACCTTGCT